TTATCTAACAGTATTTTCAACTGTCGTTTAAAACTTCGAGCAGAATGCGATGCTTCTGGTTCCTTCCTTTGGTATGACCCCACCCCCTTTTCCAATGCTACTTACCATGTTCCTATGCTTCCCAATCTCCTACCGCCCGTTCCCACTTTTTATCAAAAAAGAAACAAAGAACAGTTACAATATTCTCGCGCACGAAAGAAATACCCCTAAGCCAAGTGGAACCCCAACCTCAAGCAAGTAGCGAGCGAGGACGACCCCCAACCCGACTCCCTCCCCAAGGAAAGTCTCCCAGCATTATGGACAGCGCTGTGAAACGAAAAATCATCACTAGAAAACTTTTCTCAGGTCAACTACGACCCCATCATCTAGCGACTAGATGCGACTCCTCTTCCTTCCGAGTGTGGTCTAGATCCCAGGTCAGGCCATAAAAATGAAGCAGATCAAAATCTGCTAAAATCTTCTTTTTGAAATAAAATCTTCAACGTCGTGTCGCAGTCCGCTAGAAGTGACTCTCACGTTTTGTCACCAACCCTAAACAGATTCCGCCGCCTAGAAGTTTGCTTATAGAGGCTGCCGGCTGGGAAATCCAGTTGCGGTGGAGCGGTGAGGGCGTTTCGAGTGGCGTCAGGGCGTGGCTTTCGCGCCGGGATGAAAATGCTTCGAACTGGAATTTCTGAAACGAATCAAAGTGAACCAGTTAGCTTTCATGCAAGGAATTCTTTCAGTATGCACCCAGTGGTAAGAAAGCACCACTCAGAGCGACAGAAGAGTACAACTGGGAATGCGCTCACCTCGCAACCGTCCCCTAACAGAGGTTCACAACAAGCCCGTATTCACTAGGAACCATTCACTGATTAACTTACGTCTCTAGCCTTGAGCATGAACATATTGATAAGTCCAATAAGTAGTGATGGTGCACAGTATGGACCCGGATATAAACGACCAAAGATGAATGCCGGCTTTACATAGAAGAAGATCCATTTCATAACCACCTGCAACAGCACTGATATTTAGCTTTGAAGAAATGTTGCATGAATGAGGTCAGTTAAATAGAAAATCTTTCCAAAAAGGCGCGTCTTGATAATATTATGGCACTTATACTCCTCATCATTACGGACTGTCGGGGCGGGTCAGTGCGGCTGCGTTTTCCGCGGTTCCAAAGTCTTTCTGCACCAGTTGTTGAAGCGATCAAATGACATAACAGCATTATATCCTTCGTATTACTCGTTTTCTACCACTTTTTGCGTCGGCATCGACGCGGCCTTCAACAGACAATTCCTGAAAACGGCTCACAAACAGTGTCGCACTCCTTCCTGGCTGTACGCCCGACAGTCCGTAATGATGGAGTGTACTTTACATTGACTCTGTTCTGACAAAGTAAACACCTCTCCGCCTCAACAACGACGAGGCGAGTCATGAGCGTACAGCCGGTAACAGCTTGGAGGTGATACTGAGATAATTTCCACGGCTAGGCAGCGGAACTAGTATCGGAAGCAAGCTCTTTGTTCGCGTGGGCTGGGGCGTTTTCAGGCGGCAATGAGCAGCCGAGTGCCATCCCTTTCTTTTATTGCGACGGTCATGCGACAACAGTCGGTGATAAACGGGCAGGCGCGGCTCCAAGCCCACTCATAGGCCCCAGCCTCTGTAGTGAACCCGGCTTTATGTCACAAGTAAATCCATATCGCCCCTCTAGTTGCTACGCGCCGCACCTGTTGCCCTAGACTCAACAGCGATGGCAACGCATCTCCTACCGATAATGTGTGATAGGAAATGAACCACCGATTACGACGGATCATCTTGGACGTGCGTTACTCTCGGTTTCTTTGAGCAGCGAACCGAACGTTTTTCGCGGCGCGCGACTTCTGATCGACTCTGTACCGTATAGAAGTCTCACTCCCCGATCCCGGTGCTGTGAGATACCCCTGCATCCGTGTTCACCTCACCCATCACCCATAAGTATCGAAGATACAGAAGAGGAAGAATTCGACTTGTGGTATGAACGACAGAACAGCGCTGGTCAAACCACAGAGCGATTTGTGGCTCAAATGAAGAAACGTGATTATACAAATGAAGCAATTATATGATAACATGCTGCCAAAGCACTCTGGACAGCTTATATTGACGGAAATCATAATATTAGTTAGACATTCCTATTATATCAGATCGTTTTTGATGGCCAGCCGCTGTGCTACGGCCCTTCCGTTACATTCCTCCTCTCGTTCCCTCCTCAGCTACACTGCCACCTGCGCCCCTGGTCCATGAGCATAACGTAGCCCTAGGACTCCCATCGAAGATATAGCTTTAAGAGCACTAGGAGCTGAAATCACTCCCCTCATCGCCCGTTGGCATTGAATCAAATTGTTTTGACCCCTGTGGGATTGTGTGGGACGGTAAGCAAGGTTTGGTGGCAAGCGCTCAGTTTGAACAATTGTCACCCAATCCTATCACACACACGATAAACCTCTTATTTTGCCGCGAATCTCGTTCACACGGGGAGATCGTTCTCCAACGATCAAATATCAGAACTTTTGGAAAAGTTGCGCTTCCAACAAAGGGAACGAGTTCGGTCATCCAGAGTGGTTGGATTTCCCACGTCTTGGAAACAACGAGTCGTTCCATTACGCTAGGAGACAGTTCAATTTAGCCGACGATGAGCTTCTAAGGTTCTTTTTGCCGGATTTTTCTTCATTGTTTTGATCTGAGTTTTCATACTAGATATTTGGAGTAGCAGCCCAGTGTTACAGATATAAATGGTTGAATAAATGGGATCAAGAGATGAATGCACTCGAGGAGGCCACAGGATTTCTTCACGAGATGCCTGTAGGTATTTTCCTTTGGGCTGTCCTAAGTGATCTTTATTTTTTAAAAGTACACCTTTTCAGAAATCTATCAGGAATTACGGAAGTGATGCATTGCCAATCAGGGGAGATGGCGAGAAGGAGCAATAAGGGAGTTGAAGGTTCGTTTTAGCCCCGAGGGCGCCCACTATACCAGAACCCGCCCTGAAACGAACAGCGTCAGCATAAATTTCTATATCTGTGGCCTCGCACGTTCACTCACTCTCTTCGTGGCTAACTGCATCTGGACTCTCTCTGTGCGCTCACCCTTTCATGTACTGCATATTGGTCCGTGCTACTGGTCAGCTGCAGAAGATGGGTCTTTCAATGGTTACCCTCCTCTACAGGGAAATAGCGACAAGTCCGAGTGGTCTTTCGAATAAGATGCACCCCAACTAGGTGTTCTTTGATAGTATCATCCGGCTTCCATATTTGCTACAGATATCTCTGAGCAATTTAAAGGTTTCTAGAAGAAGCATACTCCCATTTAAAACGCTTTCAGGATGAAGATCGCTTCAGTGGTGGGACCGTAGCTGAACGATCACAGCGGTGGCCTTTATTTCTACTGTTCAAACCTCTAATTAATCCTATTTGTTACACATTCGGAGCGATTCGATTACTGGAAGTCGTCTCGAACCACAGAGCTTCCCTCTTTCTACCTTGAAAAACCGCATAAAAATGAAGGAAGGACTCACATATGGTTGCAAAGCGATAAGAGAAGTCCGAAGGTCATTTGAGCGATTCCGAGAATAATGGAAGTTTTCATTTTCATTGGATTCAAAAAGTTCAGCTTGTTTATGGCAATGTTCCAGACTGGATCGACACCGAATGGGTACGGTCCCTGAATTGAAGGCACAATGCGAAATTTAAGTGATATTATTTGAGCAACGATAACTTTACTGTGAAGATTAGAATAGGCTTATTTACCGCATTGGAATCAAAGGCGTACTCAGGCGGGAAGGTCAGATCCAATGTTTGACTGTTGTTGTGGCCTTCTTCTTCCATGTGCGCCAATAATGACATTCTGAAATTTTAATTGCTTAGATTAATATGGGGGTCATCGCAGTCACTTACAGTTCGGTAGGCACGCTATTATTATTTTAAATAGGTTGAGTCGATATGATTCGGACAAATTGACAAATTTTTTTCTTTATCGTACAGCTTTTTAACGACAACTGGGGTTCACTTGAAATATGCTCCATCTTCATCGCGTCCTTGACTGCCCACTGGATAGGCCGATAGTGATGACTTGCTTAAGAAGGCGGGGGCTGGGCCTCGAAGAAGTTCTCGAGTGCCTTCTTGACGTCGTCGCGAGTTTTGAAGTCTTGGCCGTCCAGGTGGCGTTGGAGGTGGGAGAAAAGGTGGAAATCCGAAGGGGCCAGGTCTGGAGAGTACGGTGGGTGTGGAAGCACGGTCCAACTGTACGACAGCAGCTCGGCCTTGGTCGATCTTGCAATGTGCGGTCTCGCGTTGTCGTGCTGGAAGTAGACATGGGACCGCCGCCGTTGCGAATTTTGGACATTTGCCTTCAATTCTCGTAATTGACGAATGTAGACGTCGGCGGTTACTGTTGCACCTTCATCGAGCAGTTCGGCCAGTACGTAAGCATGTACGCTCCACCAAATACAGAGCATCACCTTTTTCGGGTGTGGACTGGGTTTGGGGACGTCGTTTGCGTCGGCATCTTTGTCGACCCATTGTGCACGGCGGTGAGAGTTAGAGTAGAGAGGCCCACATTCTCATCGCCAGTGATTCGTCGAGCCAATGGTGGTGGCGCTTGAAGGTGAGCAACGAAAGTGCGACCTCGCACCGCCGATCCATGTCCCGCTGCGTCAGAGCATGGGGTACCCATCGACCAGGAAGTTTTCAGCACCTTGCCGATTGACTTCAAGCCGCGAACGACAGTAGTCTGACTCACCCCAAGAGCGGTCGCCATATCTCGAGTGGTTTGATACGGATCGGCTTCAGCTGTTTCGCAGCGAGTCCCACCCATCGCCGGCTCTGGGGGTCTCGCGTTTTACTCTCATGGTCTTCGTCTTCGATGGAATAGTTGCCCGACGCAAACTTCGAATGCCACAAGTAGACTGTACTTCTAGCGGGGGCATGCTCCTTGTAGACTTCCTTTAGGCGTCTGTCGATATCCGCGGGTTCTTGGCCAGATAGCGTTAGAAAGAGTATGACGTTGCGGAGGTGGTCTCTGGACGGCTTGAAATCGTGCGGCATGGTGGCGGAATGAAACTAGTTGGAGCATTTAAGAGCTTTTTATATTCTTTTTTTCCAACGCACACTTGCGGCGTCCACTCTTCGTTCACCAATCGCTTGGCTCGAGTTATGACTCTAGAAATCATCACTACCCCATTGTCCGAGCCATATCGGCGTCACCTAATCATTGAAGAGGACTCACCCACTATTCCCGAGCCAACTCCTGGTCAGGTTTTGCGAGCAACGTATGAACATTCGAGTGGCATTCATCATAATTTATTCAGAGAGCTCAAATAAGATTTGATTTGAATTTCCAGTGCTGGATCGAGCAAATGCATTGAGATACATACTTTGGCGTTCTTGGTCTAAAATGGCATAGGCGCTATTTAGTGTGGAAAATGTCGAAAAAGCGTAGTGAAACGGCCAGAAACCTACAAAAAGCCTTTGTTCTACACGACTCAGAAAGCAATTTTGGGCGAGATTCCCGTTTCTGGCATCGTACCAATAACACTATGGTAGATACGGCTGCACGTATGTACTCATGCATCCATGCAGCACCGCAGTCGCTCCATATCAGACCCTTCGCTTCACATTGTACTTCGCAAATTGAGATACGAGCAACACCGGTCATTTGTGGGGGGGGGGGCGGTGTGCGTCCGGGTCGGATGTTGCAGCTCGACAAGGCGCTATAGGAGTATCGGCGTCACGCAGCGCCTGCTTAGGGAGCCAAATTCTGTCCTGCTGGGCGTATAATCCTACACGTCTTGGGGATTTATCGTGCCACTTGCCTTCAAGAGGTGCGTAGGCTAAGAGATGAGCCGGCAGTTCCCACGTCTTGCTGGCACTATTATCCCAATCATGGAAGAACCTTTTTCAGTCACTTATAGCTCCGCTTTAAGAGATTTCAAGGTGCAGTGAAACCCACGGATATGGGTTTTTCCATGACGACCCGAAGATATTGATTGACTTGGAGTAAATATCGTTGTATAAGAAACCGGTGTATATAGAGAACATGCCCATGAGTAGAACGACATATCTTCCACCAAAGAAGGTGTTGAATATCTGCAAAATTTATTATTTTTTGAAATACTTTTGGACCTGTAAGCCGGTATGCAACTAAAGCAAATATGGCAGTGCATCTACTGTACCTCGTCTTTGATTTTCATCGAAATCAGTTTCTTCTCGAAGACCACAAAAGCGAGCGCAGCCAGCAGCATGATGATTCCATGTCCAGAATCTCCGAACATAACAGCGAACAGGAACGGGAAGGAAATGATGGACCAAGGGGCTGCAACAAGATCAAGTCAGGGCTTCAGCATAGTTTTCAGAGCCGGAACGATTCCTGTGATATTTTATCTGGTAATGCTCTCTACCAGTTTTACGGTCAAAGCAACAGTATTACGCTGTTGCAAATTTGTGCCTTAGGAGACAAGGCCTAGCCCCATGAGTCAAAACGAAGTGCAGCTTACTATTAAGAGGGACTAGTCCCCGATCTTATTACAGTCACGGCTCTGTTTCCTTTAGTGGTTTGAAAAGTAAAGCTCTTCTCTACTGACCTGGATTAACCTCTCGATAGTTGGCGATACCGTAGGCGTCGACAATATTCTGGAAACCTTGAGTGAACTTGTTCAGCTTGAAGTGTGTCGGTGGCATTTTATGAGTTTCCATTTCGTTTAACACGGCGTGCACAGGTCCTAAAATATGCAAAGGGTAATATTTGTAGCTTCACTATGCTGTGCAGTTAGCCTGACCTAATAGCCCCTCAGAAAGCCTGCTCTGGCGCTGTTTGTCGACGGGGGGGCATTTTGTACTACCATTGCTTCCCTAGTTCCGGTTTACAAATCTCACCCTGGTAAAACTTGTGAACCCTTGTGAAGCTGGTGCAAGATAGTCTAGCCACCATCCTAAAACGTGTCAACTCGAGAAAAGGCTACCTAGATGGGTCGGCACATCTATGAAAAGCAAATGCCCCCCCCCGTCGACAAACTGCGCCGCCTGCTCTTAGTGTAACAGAGGCATCGACCTATTTGGTTAAGCACATGGCGCGTTTTGAGGTAAAATAAAAAGTGACGTAAACATGACAGAGGACAACCGAGGATCAAGGACCGTACCAGGTCCTGCTTTGTCTAACTCTTCCCTCCATCCCTTGCACTCGGCTACTTGCGGCCAGATTTGTCTAGAAGAGCAAGAACTCAACCCACTCTTCAGATGGGTAGCCCATCGTCTGAAGCGCCTGCTTTCCTAAGGTGGGGCTTTGCTCACAGAGAAGCCTGCTATAACATGGAGAGTTCGATTCCAAGCACTGATAACCGAGACATCCTCCCTTCCGGCGAGGGAGTTCCGATTCTTACCTGCCAACGACCGGAGTCGATCCGAGGTTCGAGCTCCAGGACCGTCCGTGTGGTAAGCGCGTGATGATTGTATTACGCCACAGTCTTGCTCGCGGCCGACCCTTGTCAGGGGGAGGGGCGCTTGATTCGGAACGGCGGCATAATACAACTGCTTACCGCCAGTTGTTGTCGCATGCTCGTCCCAAGTAATGATGTAGGTCGGGTCGGCGCCGCGCCAAACACAGCCTTCCCATCTTGCACTCCCCAGCAGCAATCAAGACTGTCCTGCACCGGATTACGAAACATAGCGACGTTACTTCAGCTGTTGTCTGTATAAGTACTGGTATGCTAGGAACGCCAAGTTACCTTCAGTATGTGCTAGTGACACCTACCGTTCCTTTCCGGAGAGCAGCTCTCACGAGGTGAAGATCCACGGTTGG